GGGGGGCAAGTCCCAATGCACAAACTCTTTTCAAGTCTCTACTTAAGGCATATAAATATATATATAAATACATATATATATTCCCCTATCAAGCAAGGTAAACCCATAGTAACTGAAGGAGAGGCTATAAAGGGTCAAGATCATAGAATTTTTGGAAGAATCTCCAAGGCAGCATATTATGAGAGAAAGGGAATGAGAGCTAGTAGTTCTCATGCATGTCATGAGCTCAGTTGTGTAGTCATTTTAGATTCTGCCCAAAAGAACTACTTGCAAGGGTAGAGGTTAAGGGAAATGGAGAGGGTTACATAAAGAATAGTTAAAGGGAGGCATGATTCACTGGGGGCCATTACTATAACAATGTACCACATCAGTATTAAATGTTAGCTGTGGGAATGGTACAGAGTGGATGTTTGTGTACCCCTAAAATTCATGTTAAATCCTAATGCTCAATGTGATGATATCTGGAGGTAGGGCTTTTGGAAGGTGATTAGGTCATGAGGATGGGGACTTCACAAATGAGATTAGTGCCCTTATAAAAGAGGCCTGAGAAAGATCTTTTGGCCCTTCTGCCATTGAGGAAACAGTAAAAAGACACTATCCATAAACCAGGAAGTGGGCCCTTATGAGACACTGAAAATGCTCATGCCTTGATCCTGGTACTTCCTAGCCTCCAGAACTGTGAGAAATAAATCCCTGTTGTTTATAAACCACCTAATATAGGGTATTCTGTTAGAGCAATATGAACAGACTAAGGCAAATTCCAGTACTTCTTCTAGCCACATAAACATATTCAACACAGGCACATAGTCTGAGTGAATGCGATTGATTCATGTTTACTTACAACAATGGGATGTCACTACATATGTGCAAACAACCCAACTGCAATGGAAGACCACTTATGAGCTACAATAGAGAGATACAAAACTTAATATACTTCCCTCAGCAAAATTGTACCATGAACCCCTTTTATTAAAAATTCAACAGTACAACTGTGGAAAAAATAAACTTATAGGAAAATTTTACATGAATCCAGGACTATTTAGCCTGGAATGTAAAGTTCTCTCCATAAAATAATTTCATGATTTTATCTTCTTCAATAAGAATAATCTGTATTTCATGACTTTTTTAAAGCACATAAAGTTTGTGCAGTCTGCATTCATATTGATTCCTCCTAATCTTTCCAGTCTCATGTCAAAAGACAAGTGTCTACTTGCTGCACACTGATCCTCTCCAGGAGAACAAACAAAACATTTATTATACACAGGGATACTAAATTTCTCATGGCCATGCTTTATTATAGATGCTGGAAAAATAAGTTACCATTCATTTTATCTGTAAGGCAGCAAAAAAGGGAATGGAAGTAACATCTAAATAAAATAAGCTGCCTGATACAGGGAATAAAGGTAGCAATTATAAAAGGGAAGCCTTTCTTATGAAATGATTTTGGTCAGATAAAACTGCTCATAAAACCAGGGAGAAGAAAGAAGGCAGGTCCAGGCAAGTGTTCCTTTAATAAGGCCCCTTATAAAATTATCACATAAATCTCTTATCTTGGTGCAAATTGATGCAGAAAATCTGATGAAAAGTAACAGTGAATTTTAGCAATCTTCCTCAAAATTATATAGTGAGTGATTGAACTAGAACTTGTGTTAAATTTCTTGATTCACAGCTAGGTTCAAACTTAACAAAATGCATTAGGACCTAGACCATGGCAAACTTGTTTCCTATCAGATCCCCCACGACTAGCTGTTGGGGAAGGTCACTGAAAAGACTCCGCTGAGCTATAAACTGGACCCAGGTGATCTGAGTGAATCTCCCTATCCCCTCCCCTTGGAATGTGGTTCTGTTTGTTTTTCCTGCTCCCCAAGGCTGCTGTAAGCACGTAGCCTTTAGATATGGTGTTGAGAACACCTGCACAATACATTTAACTGAACCCAGTTAAGGGCTCTCTCTATATAAACTTTAAGATTTGGTGGGTGGGTGCAGGGATCCATTATTCTTCCAGCCGCCCAAGACAAGCCTCCTAGGCAAGTCCCCTTTGCTTAGCAAAACTGCCACCTACCAAGCTGGAAAGGCCTTCCCCTTATCTTTGGTCTCTCTGCCCTCCACAATCGGAAGCCAGTTTCAGATTAAACCTGGGAAGCTCCCAAGGAGGTTATGAACCAACACTAGCACAGTGCACAAGCTCAAAAATAGTGTTAGAATGAGTAAAAGAATGAAATTTAAGCAAGATTTTACATTTATTCAGGACTATAACTGAGATCTGGGTTACAATCTTAGATGCATTAATTATTAGGAAATAACTTAGCTTCTCTGAATCTATTTTCACTTCTGAAAAATGAAAATAAAATTTATCATTAGACCAGGTACCTTGAGTTGCTGGGAATATAAATGTGAACAAGAGGGCGAGGGGAAGTAAAGGTAGTAAAGACAAATACAGACAAAACAAAACTAGAAAATTAATATACAGAATAGTTATCATGAATGAAAAACAACAAAAACAAGGTGCTGCAGTAAAAACATTCTTACGATGAAAATAAACATGCAATTTTAAGCATATGACTCATGTGACAAGAGAAATTAGATCTCATCTCTTCCTTCCCTTGCTAAATTATGAATTAAAAACTGAACATGAAAAATATGTAATTCAAATACCTAAGTAAACAAAGTTACATCATTAGAATATGATATTTACTATAGACAGCAAGACTGAAGAACAAGCACTTCACAGATACTGGTTCTCAGCATGCCTGAGGCAGTATGGAATTAAAGAGAACATCCTCCATCCAGAAAAATCCACTTTCAATCACACCATTTAAGTTTTAGCACAGTTCCTAACCTCTCCAAGCCTCAGTTTTACAGCTTGGATGGAAAAATGAGGACGATACAGGCACCTACCTCACTGGACTGTTATGAAGATGAACTAAGAGAGTGACAAAGTTATAGTAATCAAACAGTATGATATTTGCATAAAACAGGCTAATGGAACAAAACAGCCCAAGTACCATAAAACAGGTTAATGGAACAAAACAGTAATCATAACAGTATGATATTTGCATAAAACAGGTTAATGGAACAAAACAGCCCAAGTACCAAGAATACACAATGAAGAAAGGAGAGTCTCCCTAATAAATGGTGCTGGGAAAACTGGAGAGCCACATGCTCCTTGACATTGACCCTGACAATGATTTTCTGGATTTGGAACCAAAAACAAAGGCAAAAAGCAAAAATAAACAAGTGGGACTATGTTAAACTAAAAAGCTTCTGCACAACAAAGGAAACTATCATCAAAATGAAAAGACAACCTATGGGATGGAAGAAAATAACTGCAAATCATATATCTGATAAGGGGTTAATATCCAAAATATGTAAGGAACACCTACAACTCAACAGCAGAAAAGCAAATAATTTGAGGAACTTCTTCCAAAGACATACAAATGGCCAACAGATACATGAAAAGGTGCTCAACATCACTAATCATCAGGGAAATGCAAATTAGAACCATGAGATATCACCACACACCTGTCAGTTTGCTGTCATCAAAAAGACAAAGAGATAATAAGGGTTAGCGAGGATGGGGAGAAAAGGGAACCCTTGTGCACTGCTGGTGGGAATGTAAACTAGTGTAGCCACTACGGAAAACAGTTACGGAGATTACTCAAAATTAAAAACAGAACTACCATATTATCCCGCAATTCTATTTCTGGATATATATCCAAAGGAAACAAAATCACTATGTGCATGAGATAGCTGCACCCCCATATCCACTGCACAACTATTTACAGTAGCCAAGACATGGAAATAAGTGGCCACTGACAGATGAATAAAGAAAATGTGGTATATACAATGGATTATTCAACCATGAAAAGAATGAAATCTTGCCATTTGGGACAACATGGATGGACCTTGAGAGCATTATGGTAAGTATCAGAAAGAAAAATACAAATACTGTATGGATCTCAGATGCAGAACCAAAAAAAAAAAAAAAACACCCAAAACAAACTCATGGAAACAAAGAACATACCCGTCAAAAGGTAGAAACTTAGAGTTACAAGACAAATAAGTTCTGGGGATGTAATGTCAGCATGGTTAAAAAAATAACGAACAGTATGTGGCATATAATCTCAGTAAAGGATACAACAAAATTATCATTCCTACAAATCTGATGAATGTTTTTAAAATTTATCCTACTAAATCAGTATCTTTTTATCTTCTGAGCTATTATTTGTTTTACCCAAATACGTGGTTTGGAAAGAAATCTGTGTATCTTCAGAAGGAAAACTTAGTATCAATTATAGAAAAGAAAAAGTCCTTAAAAAAAAATAGGAGGCACTGCTCCAACAGTCGAAAATGTCATTTAGATTTCAAGTCCACAGCTTTTTTTTTTTTTTTTAAGTCTACAGCTTCTTAAGAAAGTTATCTAGTAGTGTATCATATTCCAGAATGGCTGAACACAGCGGGATGAACAAAACTTGACCGAAAGAACTGTAAACACCTGAGAAACGCTTTCATATGAGGGCATCTTCGGTAACCAAGAAAGTGACAGCATCCAGGCTGGTGAGTACTGAGGCCCCTTCTCTCTCCACCCCAGCATTAGGCTGGGCAAATTCTAAACACTCCTTTCTAGAGCCTTCACTCTATACCAGCTCTTCAATCTTCAAGTCCTCCAATCCGCGAAGGCTATGGTGCTACAGGTAAGGCGGGCAGAGAAGAATATGTCCTCTTCTCAATTCTTCACTCACCCCAAAACCATGATCGTGGCCGTGCGGCCCCCACTCCACTGTACGGAGTAGATTCAGAGCGCAAAGCAAACTAAAACTTTCTTTTCCTTCTTACAGAGGGCACCACGCGTGGAACGTGTGCAAACGTCTAAGGAAACGGGTTCTTCTCACCTCTTCAGACCTGGACCGAGTCCTTCCGCGCCAATAGCACGAGCTTCATTAAGCCGGGACCGCTCCCCTCAATTCCTCCCCCGCCTCTGACCCACAGCTCGACCTCACCTGGGAGCGGTTCCACCAGGAGATGGCTTAGAGAAATCCCAGGAAGAGCGGCCCAGCTAGTGACGCCACCAAAGGCAGAGTCATGGTCTACCTCATTCAGGTCACCAGCGCAGACGCGCCTCAGCCACTGCTCCTCCCGCCTCTGGGTCGTTCCTCCACCACCCCGGTACCGTCGCAGCCTCCCGCATTGCACGCTGGGAACGGCCTCCCTCCACCTCTCATAGACTTCAGTTCCCAGCATGCACAAGCCTCCAAGCAGAACTGCACTCTGGGATTTGGAGTCCTTATCCCTCGACTTCTCCGTCTTTAACACAGAGTCTAAGGGACCGTGCAGGAGAATCTAAACGCAAAGCAGCACCCAAGGTCGTGAAATGTAGGCTCCCCTCGCATCCGGGACCTAGTGCCGTCCTTCGCGGGGTGGGGATTGGTGTCGCCTAGCAGCCGCCGCCGCTCCTGCTTGCACAGGACCTGTTGGCGGGATCCAGAGTCCGTGTGGAACCGCGCTGGGGAGCGGTCCCGCGGGGCGGCGGGGCCAACCTTGGTCCGTGCGGCAGATCAGGGACCTCCGCTGGTTGCCAGGCTCGGTTAGGTGGGTGGATCTTGCTGAGAAGGAGGAGCCAGTTTCTTCCCAAAAAGGTTCTTTAAGTCTCGGGGCCCGTATGTAACGGCTTGTCTTCCCCACCCCTTAGTCTTTGGTCCGCAATCCGTGGGCCTTCTCCTAGCTTCAGCCCCGGTTTCCCCGGCCTACCTGCTCTCATTTCAGTCGTTTATTTACACACCTTTTCTTTTTTACCCCCAGGTCCTGCTTCACCGAATCAGGGTTCATTTTCAGCCTTCCAAGTACCCCCGCGTTTGGTACCATTAGACGTTCGCGCGCCTCGGTGGTAAGGGGGCGTGGAGGAGGGGACTCAGAATCTTAGTTCTGACCTAGATTAGTTATAGGAGGGAATCCGTCATGGTTTATTCAACCGGTGCAGTCTTTGTTGGTTTGTGCCAGCTGCTATAATTTTGATCAAGGCTATTTTGCCCACTTATCTGTTAAAACAATTAAGGAGCCATAGCTCTTTGCTAACACCAGGTTATAATGATGTAATCTATAAAAATAGGAACTTTGTTTACCTCGAAAATGCTAATACCCACCTGTTTTGTTACAGAAGGTAAAGCACAGTGAAGGATTTCAAGATGCCACCTAATATAAACTGGAAAGAAATAATAAAAGTTGACCCAGATGACCTGCCTCATCAAGAAGAATTGGCAGATAATTTATTGATTTCCTTATCCAAGGTGCTTGATTGATAAAAAATACACACACATGCCTATATATACACACAACTATGATTAATCTAAGTTGTCCCGGAAATCAATGAATGTTACAAATGGAAGAGTTTTTATATTTTGCCCAAGGGTTATAAAACATAAAATAGTTGTTTTTCTTTTTACTTAGGTGGAAATAAGTGAGCTAAAAACTGAAAGTCAAGAAAATATGATACACCTTTTCAGAATTACTCAATCACTAATGAAGGTTTGTATGCAGTAGGTTTTAATAATGATTTTGACTATTGGAGGACGTTTAAGGAACTGTTCTTAAATAAGTTAGTCTTTATGAAAGTACTTTATAATATCAAAATCACTCAAAAATGAGATCTCTTCAAATGTGGATTGAAAATTTTAGTGTGCAAAACATTGCTGGTTTCTGCTCTAGAGTTCCTAGAAGAATGTCTAAGGGAAACAGAATGGGTATGTTTAAAAATAACATAGAGAGGTCCTTTGTAATTATGTTAACATAATCCTGAAGTCAGAATGAAAAGTGTGAACACTTGTATAGGGGTTTGTTGGGAGGGGGAAAGGTTTAGGTAAGAGAAGGCCTCATGAGGGGCAAAGACTGCTGAGTAATTTTAGGTAAATGGAAAGCAGTGGTAAACATTAAAAAGCTTCTAAAGCTGGAAATCACCTTAAATAAAAACTTGAACTAGAAAATGTGCTTAGTCTACTGGGTATTTACCCCAAAGATACAAATGTAGTGATCCAAAGGGGTACGTGCTCCCCAATGTTTATAGCAGCAATGTCCACAATAGCCAAACTATGGAAAAAGCCAAGATGTCCACCAACAGATGAATGGATAAAAAAGATGTGGTGTGTGTGTATATATATATATATATGATGGAATATTAAGCAGTCATCAAAAAAAAACCCAAAGTCTTGCCATTTACAACAACGTGGATGGAACTAGAGGGTATTATACTAAGCGAAATAAGTCAATCAGAGAAAAACAAGTATAATCTCACTGATATGAGGAATTCTTAATCTCAGGAAACAAATGAGGGTTGCTGGAGTGGTGGGGGGTGGGAGGGATGGGGTGGCTGGGTGATGGACATTGGGGAGGGTATGTGCTATGGTGAGTGCTGTGAATTGTGTAAGACTGTTGAATCACAGACCTGTACCTCTGAAACAAATAATACATTATTTGTTAAAAAAAAAAAAAGTAGGGAAAAATGAAGGGGGGCAAATCGGAGGGGGAGACAAACCATGAGAGACTATGGACTCTGAGAAACAAACTGAGGGTTTTAGAGGGGAGGGGTTGGAGGGATGGGTTAGCCCAGTGATGGGTATTAAGGAGGGCATGTATTGAATGGAGCACTGGGTGTTATATGCAAGCAATGGATCATGGAACACTACATCAGAAACTAATGATGTAATGAATGGTGACTAACATAACATAATAAAATTAAATTAAAAATAATTAATTTAAAAAAGAAAATGTGCTTATTCTTTACAGTTGAGGAGACAGGTGCAGAAAATTTATAGTAGGTTATAGAGGAAACAAATGGGTATAGCTTGGCAGTAGGCTGGCAAGGATAATACAGGTGTATTTTATACTATCAGCAATGAGGAGCCATTAGAGGTTTTTGAGCCACAACTGGTAATAACAAAAGTGTGCTTTAGGAAGGCTAAACTAGGTATGTTAATAGGACAAATTGAAGGGAATTGAAGCTATTTAGACATAACATTGTGAAGAAGGTTAGACATAAGATTATGGACTAAAATAATGATAATGGTAAAAGAAAAAGTAGAAAACATTACAAAGGGAAAAGTTACAGTACTGGATATAAGACTTGAAGGAAAAAGAGGAATCAAAGATACTTCAAGCTGTTAGGAATCTAGGAATTATATCCTTAAGTAAGAAAATCGTCTATTCAACAAATATTTACTGAAAGTCTCCATATCCCAGGCATTGAAGGCACTAAATATTGGGAAAGCAAATGAAACAAAATCCTCATTTTCAGTGTTTATGTAAAGACATAATTGAAATAACCTTTTTTATGTTTAGATGAAAGCTCAAGAAGTAGAGCTAGCTTTGGAGGAAGTTGAAAAAGCTGGAGAAGAACAAGCAAAATTTGGTAAACACCCTGGAAAACTTTATCATAGTGTTAAATAGGGGATTCTGTTTAATATACTCTGTAAAATTTATATCCTCACTTTATTTTGAAGGACATTTCTAGAACTCTTATTTCATGGATGAGGTATAAAAGTTATTTTTTTCTTATGTTACCTTATTATAATCATGATGGAATCTTTAACAATTTTATTACTTTGTTGAAACTTATTTAAAAATTTGTTTTGAGATAAATCTGACCAATTGAAACTTTTTTTTTTAATAGAAAATCAATTAAAAACTAAAGTAATGAAACTGGAAAATGAACTGGAGGTATGTCCTTTTGTATTACCTAGGGTGTAATTGTTGTTAGTTTTATTATTCTGAATTATTTTCAAAACTTTATTTTGGCTGGAAAAAATCACAAGAATGATATTGTGTTCATAATTGGTTGTTCAACATATATTTTACACGTAATGTAAATTCTTAAGTTTAAGAATCCTTAAATTCTTAGGATTGAGCATCCAGTTGTGAACAAAATAAAAACATTCAGTAGGGGTGGCTGGGTGGCTCAGTTGGTTAAGCAGCTGCCTTTGGCTCAGGTCATGATCCCAGGGTCCTGAGATCGAGCCCCATATTGGGCTCTCTGCTCGGCCAGGAGCCTACTTCTCCCTCTCCCTACACATGCTGCTCCCCCTGCTTGTGCTCTCTCTCTCTGTCAAATAAATAAATAAATCTTAAAAGAAAAAAAAATTCAGTAACCTGAGGCTTATAGTCTAGAGAGGTATACAGAAGATTACTAGTAACTGAACTGGAGTGGAGGCACATGGGAATTTGAGGAATAGTGATGGAAGGATATGGTAGAAGAAGTAGCTTTTGAAAAAGCTAAGAGCCAAAATATGAATATATTGTTAAGGAACTGAATACATTGAGATTCCTGAGAATGTGGGAAGGAATGTGATACAAATGAGTTAGCCTTTAAAAGAAAAGACCTTCTTCCTTTGTAGCAGGAAATATGGATGTATACAGAAGCTTTTATGTTTGTAGATTGAATACCTGGAAGTTGAGAGGTTGGAGGGAAAGCCCATTTGCTAAAAATAAGAGTGGAAGATGTGTGGTTAAAGTTTAAGGAAAATTAAGTTTGAAATATAGTGGAGAATGAGCTGGAGATTAGGGTATCTGGAGTCAGACAATTTGAATTCAAATCCTGATTCTTTTACTTACTCTGTCAACTAGGATGAGTTATTTTTTATTCCGTACTATATATCCATCTCCTAGAAAAATATCAACCATTCTCAATATATACTTATTAAATGAATTATGAAGTTGGATTGATTCTGTTAGTATTTAGCCAGGCAGCTGCTGTAGAATAGAAGGACAGGGCAGTGGGAGATATTGGTAAGAAAGTGGTTGAAGTGATAAATAATGATTATGAAATCTCAGCTGAATGGGTAAATCAAGATTTGAATGGTGGGAGAGGTTAGAGACAAGTCAAGGGATCAGAGGGTCCTGTGAGGTCAGAGGGAGGTATACTAGGAATCATGAGAAAATGTTTCCGCTGGGACAAGGTTCTGGTGTGGGCATGAGAGTGGGAGGCTATAGTGAATTCAAGAAGCATGTAAAAAGATAGAGACTAGAATGAAAGTTACATGGATGTGGAAACTGCTTAGGGGGGCTTTAGTGAAACACTCTGAGCCATGTGCCAAAAATTCTCAATGAATTTTGAGAGGGAGCAATTGGGAAGTTAGTAGTTTGCTGCTACCATGAGTAGGTAGGGATTGGATAGCTGGATATCATATAGAATTCATAGCAACTGGAG